AAAAAACTTAATTTAACTATAGCTTTTTCAAACTTAAAGTTTAAAGTACTCTTATTTTTATTTTACTTTAAATTTATAATTAAAATGTTCTCGCTTAATTAAGACACTCTTGGTATTTATTTACATAGAATCCAATAGAAAATATATAACTTAAAATATTTAGTGGTATCTGATAAAGAATTCTTTTATATAATAATCTCATAAACAAGATAAAAGAAACATAAAATAAAAATGAAGGGTAGTTTACTATAAATACAAAAGACATAACACTGCTTGTAGATGAGAGCATTATGTCTAAAGTACACTCATACTAAGCATTCACATAGATTGCCTATAAACCTGTGTCCAATATGAAAGAACAGTAAGATTTGAAAGACAGAAAAATATTTCAATAAATCCAAAGTTTAACTGACAGATGTCAAGATATCGAATACATCACTATTAATCACAAACTTTAGAAGTTAAGATCAAGTTTGTAAACGATCAAAAGCAAAATGTAAAATAGAGTGTCAATCAAACATCGCAAGGCGTTCTTGGCTACTTTGTCACAATGGTGAATTCTTGCTGTTAGAAACATTGTTTCTAACCCTAGTCAAACATTTTGTAAGCAAGATCTTGGATACACACTAAGATAAAATGTGTTGCATGTGTCGTGATTTGCGACACAATGCATGATACATTCTGAAGGTACGGTTCGAACCTATCATATAGCGCATTTATTATTTTTTTCTGTAAAAGCATGTTATGATATTTTTTTAAACTTATTTTCATTTTAATTATTCCTATCTCGAATAACTGAAGCAAATCAGATCTTGGAATCTGCCTATATCTTGAGATTGTCCGATCTCCATCAGACTTCTTCAGGGTAGTCCTCTCTCGATTATCGATCGAGATCAACATGTTTTCGAATAATCAATAGTCGAGAAAAAGTTTTTTATTTGAAAATATCTGTTTCAGGTATTCAACCATGTTGTTTATATACGACTCTGTATGCATAAATAAAAACGGTGAATGACTAGTCAGCATATAAACACATCAATAAAGTCGGTTTTTGTTTTACTCAAGATCTTGTGAGAAGATAATAGACAACGATATCTTTTCCATGATCTTGACAAGATTTATCTGTTATAATCAAGATATGCACATACAAATTATCTTTTTCAACATCTTATCAAGATTTTGCTTACATAATATTTAAATAATCTATGACTGCTGGTTGGCAATATCTGCTCCGTCAATAATTCCATTACGTGTTGGATATACACAAAAATTTTCCATTGATACAAATACATTGATTGAAATACGTAGTGATACAAATGATGTTGATATTTATTATACATTAGATGGTTCAAAACCAGATGCATTTATAACATTAGCAACACGACGTTCGACTATACAATATAAAAAACCATTTTATATACCAAGAGATATAGCTAATACAGGCATCACGGTAAAGATATTTGGGAAAACAAAAAAATCCGTTTGAAGAATTTTTATTTTTTTATTAAAATTTATTTAGTGATGGAATACGAGAAAGTATTATAGTAACAAAAATATTTGATGTTAAAATTATTCCATCAGATCATTCATTATCGGATGAATATGAAAATCGATATTTATATGAATTACAACAAGAACGAAAGGTAAAAAATTTCAAAATGATAGATAATAAATAAATTCAATAGAAATTTACTTATCTCATGTTTATTGAAATACTGTATAGAATACTTTTTTTTTATTATGAAATCATACCTATTTTTATATGAAATGTACAATGAATTTGAATCAAGTGAAAGAATATTCTTTTTAGTATTTATTTAAGTAATCTGAAAAAGTATATTTTAGAAAAGATGAGTTTTCATTAAAAGAAACTATGAATTCGATTTTTGTAGAAAACACATCTGAATACTTTGAATCTTTCATAAAATATTACGAAAATAAAATAATCTGTTGGATATATGAGTAAGTTTATGTGTTATTATAAGTGATTAATCAAGATGTTAAAGTTTAATTAAATATTAAATTTTTCAATATAAATATATTTTAGTTTGCAAAAATATTTATCTTTAATTTTATTTAAAAAAATTGATATTCAAGAATGTCTCGATATCTCAAGAGTTCAATTAGAAGATCACTAATATAATAGTAGTAATTTAATGCTTGTCTATCGATATTTCTTCATTAAAATGTTTTTTTTTCTATGAAGTTCAAAACCTATCAAAGTCATTGACACATCTTCAATTTTAGTTTTTAAATTTCGACTTGAAACTTTGCATAGAGATAGATGTTAATGAAAATAATTTATTGCAAAATATTTTTCATTTCGCCGATAAGAATATATCTAAAACTTTCATTAGAAACTATTGTCAGTGAGCCATACTATGGGCTATTTAATTTCAGTCTGAATTTATCAAATAAAAATAATACTTGATTTCAAACTGAAACGTGAGTCTAGGAGTGAGGGATGGGGGTGACTGAGGGTGTGGGTGTTGGTCTGGGACCCACACACACACCCACACCCATGGTGCGGGTGTGGGCGCGCGAGTGAGGGTGAGGGTGTGCATGTGGTTTTGTGTACTATAGGCTTTAGTCCCCTGCACAGGGGACTAAGCGGGGACTAAGCTTTTTGTGGGGGGGACTAAGGGGGACTTTGCAGGACTAGGGGGGACTAAGGGTTTTTAGTGAGACTACGTAGTATCAAGCGAGAAAAGTTTGATTCGGAAGAAATTGGTGTGGTTTTTTTGATTTTGGAATTCAGTTTGAAATAAAAAAGCCCATAGACTCCAGTGAGCTCAATCTCTGTGAAAAAATCAAATTCGAGATTTGAAAATGAAATATTTCTGAAGAATGTCATAGTATTATCTAAAAAACAATTGTAAACATACAATTAGTAAAGCAATCGAACTTTTTTCTACATATTTAATTCAGTTAAATACTTATTAATTGATTTTATAATTTTACTTCAATAGGAATTAATGAGAAAGATGCAAAATGAAAATGAACAAATGCAACAAAAATTATCTGGTATCAAAAAAAAAAAAGTAATTTTATTTATTATTAATCAAATTTCTATATAGAATCAATGCA